GTACTATCGATGCATCATATACCATAAGCACATACGAATGATGAAAATCGAAATCATTATTCCTACAGAAAGGTGAAACAACTAGAAAACTGCATTACAAATAAATAAATGAAACGAAGTGAAATTCATAGGTGACAAAGCATTAGTGAACACAATTGAAATCAAAATACACTCAGCAACCACTATGTACGCTAGTGTATGCTTCTTCAGAGAAGAAACAATTTCCATGAAGTCGTGAAACGTTAGAAACTTATTTTTCCACCTCATTGGGATTTAATACATTTATTTTATTTATAACAATAAGCGATTGGTTGAAAGTCTAGTGCCTGAACCAATGAACCCCAGCCTTTCATACTTGATAAATCGTTATACACATCCATACCAACATATAAAAGTTATGAGCAAAACATGTTCAAAACTTCACATATTATACAGACAGTTATTCTGTAAATGAGATTACGTTGTTGAATCAGTAGCTCAGATGGTTTGAACACATTTTTTTACGTAGAATTCTAGTACCTATCATACTGATTTTCAGCTCCTATATTTGGGACTAATTACCAAAAGTAGATAGGTGATCCTTAGTGACGGATATTGGTAGGCAGTGGAATACTAAGAGCGCGTTTCATCCCATTTTGGTCAGGTTAGCTAGATGTACCCATCTTTCAGTGTTGTTTTCACTGACACTCAAATTCAATAGTCATCGGTTCAAACACTGTAGCGTCATCCGCTAGGCTGAGTGAGCCATTACTTATGTCACAAGCATTATTATCATCATATTATTAGTCCCTTGGGTTTCTAATGGAACATAGGGCTTCAGTAGCACGTCTCCATTCCACTCTGTTCTCTGAAATCTTTTGAACCTGGCTCCACGACAGCCCACAACCTCTCATTTCCTCCTCACACGATCTCCTCCATGTCACCCTCGGACACCCAACTTGTCGCTTCCCATGCGGATTCCACTCGAGTGACTGGCCTGATGCGTGATGTCCCCAGTCGACCTTCTCAGTGTATGCCCAATCCATCTCCACTTCCTTCCAGTGCATATTTGTTGGGTGATAGGTTGTTGGTTGGTTCGTTCCCAGAGCTCCTTGTTGCTTACTCTTATTATTCTGGCCATCTGATCTTCAGTAACGAGCCAGCGTAGGTGGCAGTTGTTGATGAATGTATGTAGTTTATTGGAAATCCTTTCGTAACGCGCCAAGTCTCTGAGCCATACAGAAGCACTGACTTAACGTTGGTGTTAAAAATCCGTATCTTGTTCCGCATGCTGAGTGCAGAAGATCTCCACACTGGTTTCAGGCTGATGAACACCTGTCTTGCTGTGTTTCCGATTCTGACTTTGACATCCTCGTCGGTGCCTGTGGCGCCTGTAGTTGAAACAGTGCTTCCTAGATAGGTGAAGGAGGTTACTTCCATTAAGTTTCTCCCGTTCATGGTGACTGGAGTTTGTTGTTGTTGGTGGTGGTGGTGCGGTATCTTCATCACCTCTGTCTTCTCTATATTCACTTGAAGTCCCGTCTTCGCTGCCTCGCCTCTTCTGTCAACTTGTTAGTTTTCACCTGTAGATCCTCAAGTTTATGTGACATCAGGCACAAGTCATCGGCGAAATATTGTACACTGCACTATAACAGTCATATGCGCAATGTTCTTCGTTTCCTCTTCTGCTTGTATTTCGATTTGCACTTAATACGCGCACATTGTCTCTTGCGTTTCTCTCGGCAGAATATTTACCCATTGCCCGTGATTTCTGACACCCTCTCAACATATACTACATGTTCCTATTCTGATCAGCAACGCCCACTTAAATGTCACACTTCTTTTATAACAAATGTTCTGATTTCATCTATGCTCTAATTGAGATACGAATCTACGTATGCTTCAAAGAAAATATAAACGTCATACCTGGAGGACATATCCCGATTCACCTGGAAATTAAGAATATCGACTGTGTGAAGTGGGTTGCTCCCAAGATTTTTGAGTGATTTCGTTGTATTAACTCTTCTAGTGTTTACGTGTATCACCATGAGATTTCTCTCGGAGATTCGACGTGTTACAATTCATTGTGGTTTCCAAGGTTGTCCAAGTTTTTCTCAACTGTTTAGATGATAGTGCCACACACCATAACAAGGCGATAGTTCAATCCTGCTTTTTCGGCCATCTCGAAGGATGACTGGTATTAATGGTCTTAGCCTGTCCGTTGATTCTGCTAAACTGATGCTGCAACCACTATGAGTTTACTGATAGCGAGTCAATTGATTTAATACGCCGACCACTTCACTCACCGTGAAATCACATCAGACAGACAGACAAAGTCGACGTAGAACCTCGTACATAAGTGCATCGGTTCAACTTACCACACTTCAAAGTAGCACACAAAGAATAGGTGGATAGGATAGACCGATATCAAAGTAGACTAAAGTATCTGAGAGAAAACACAGTTTGGAGATTACGGTTAGTGCAAATATTCAAGCCTTAGAAGATGTCAGGAAGTGAAGACATCCATCTGGGCCATTGTGACTGATTTCCAGCCATATCATTAAGAGTCCTTAACAACTACTTCGTATGAGCACTAGAACCCTAAGCAGTCAGTTTACGCCTCCCTACACAACTGGGAGAAATAGTCGGCGACTTCATTCACTGGTGCTACGTCTTGATCTGATCACCTTGCACCTTCTCTCAATCTTATCGAACTTCTGGGATGGCATGTCGAGGTAGGTGGTGGATCAGTATGGGCAGCACTTCCATCACTGTAGGCGACAATTTCCTACCTCTTACCCTTGAAAACGTCAGGGGGCAAACTGTCATGCCCTGCTGCTTTGCATTGTCTCAGGTTCAACACAGCCTTCTCAACTTCGAAGATAGTTATAGGACAGACATCTACGTCTCTTTCAGGTTCAGACTGGATGTTGGGCAGCTGAGGTTTTACTATGGGTCGGTTAAACTGTGCTTCAGTATTTTGCTCAAACTTCTAGCCGCCTGTCGTGGGAAGTTATCAGCGTCACATCCTTTCCAGTAATGTTTTAATCAAACTTCATCCTCTTCTTGTCGGTATGCTTAAATAAGCCCTAATAATTACCGAGTCTTACCCAACGCTGTTGCCACTCACCACTGCTAGCGATCGATGCGAATACGTTTGGTCAGTTTACGTTTGAGTTGCTTTCGCTCTTCATTGTAGTCAGAGTCATCCGGAGCCAGTCTTCTCGTATCAATCATTTTGAATGATGTTCCAGAAATTCAGTGATTTTTAATAACCTTCGGGTGTAGGTTATCAACTGTCTTTACCGCTGTTTCTAAAGCACATTTGATTTCACACTGGGTTTCTTCAGCATAAGCGTCGCTGTCATGTTCAAAAAAATGCATAAATGTTTATGTTCATCTTCCAGTCTACCATAGACAGGCTTTTCATATCGCCTGTTTTCTACGACCAGTAAGGTGCAAGCATACACAAGCCCTGCTAACTCTTGATCGGGATTCAAACTGGTACTTTCTCGAGAGCGGCCATTCTCCACCGATCCTCTCCGATGGTGGCTTATAGCAGTGTGATCTACCTGTGTCCATTATGGTTTAAAGTCGGCGGAGGCCATTTGGGACAGTGTCTTTCCTTAAGCCTAAAGATAGTGCTGGCCAGAGAAAAAAGTGATTGTCGGTACAAAATCTCAAGAGATGATCACTGTTTTCGGTTCGCTGGCATGAGATTCCGAAAATACCTCCAAAATGGCTTTCCGATTGACTCAGCTTTGCGGTTATAGTCACTTACCATTACGACTAGATCTTGACGTTTGGTTTTCTATAGGAAAGTTGACAACTGATCATACAATTCATCTTGGGCATTATCTGAATTGCAGTCAGTGGGTGTGTAGGCGGATTATGAATAGGCATCTGTTGGTCTTGCAGTCATTCCTAGTTCTTATAGATCCATTCAGTTGGATAGCACAAAGGCGGCTGTTTTCTAGAATCCAGTCGAGAAAGGCACTCTGCCCCACAGCTTAGTGTTATGCATGTAGTAGCAAGTACACGAGAGCTAACCATTGTATATCCTGAATTTTGAGGATTCCAGAGTTTGGCGAGAGATGCCTGCTGCTCGATTCGGCATAGAGTTCGGATGTTGAAAGGTCTTACATGAAATCAATGGCGGGGTCTTAAGAGGGTAGAAATGAGGTTTCAATGGTTCTGATCGTTGACAGTGCTTGCAGAGTGAGAGATTGGAGAAGGTGTAAGAGGCTTAATATCAGGAGGTGTTTGCAAGGGGGGAGACAGTTGAGGATGATAGGTTTTGCTTTATTGTGTTTTGTGTACTACTGAAAGTGTACAGGCTGTTTACACCTGCCGACACCGTGGAAGTCTAGTTTTTATTAAGGTCCCTGAAAGAGAAAAAGGTTTTTGTGACCGCAGAGCACATGGGCGTTTGCTTGAGGCCTGTCACACATGGCCTTTTAGGCGATGTTGTTTTGAGGTCCAGTTGATCTAACGCTCGAGACACAATCCATACTGCACCAACCGTAATACTCAAATTGTGTTTTCTCTCACACACTTTAGTTTACTTTGATATCGGTCTTTCCTATCCACCTGTTCTTTGTGTGCTATGAAGCATAGCAAATTGAACCGATGCACTTTTGTATGCGGTTTCTACGTTGATTTGTTTATGTCTCTATCTGTCATCGATTTTGGTAACTTTAATATCACTGGATGTTCTACCATATGTTCGAAGGTACTGATGTCTAATAAAGGTAGTTTTCAGAGCACTTTTGCAACCAACCGTCACATTATCTATTCGGTGAATTCTTTTCTATCGCCGCTATGCAGATATTCACTTATTCTGCATCTCTGGTGTTCTTTGTTATGCTTAGAACTCTGAAAGCTCAACCTTTTTGTTTATATTTGTCATCAGTTAACTTATTTTTCTACATTTATTGTTTTTATTATCATAAAGGTATTAACATTATTTTTCGGAAAGAAACTAAACAGAATTATTTCTTTACTTCCTTATGCATATACAGAAACTGGTTGATATCAATAATTTTTCCTCAGGTATGGCTGTTGTCTCCGGTCTTCATGTACAGTGTATTTATCGTTTAAATGCTACTTGGTCTAATCTCTCCTCACGTGATCGGCACACATTTCGTAAATTGGCTGATTTGTTTTCACAAGAAAATAATTATGTCAATCTTCGTTCAGCTGTGGATAATGCACGTCTTCCATGTATACCATATTTAGGTAAGTTGATTTTTATTCCTTATCGGAAGTATGTTTAGAAATTGTTCTTGGTTTAATAGCTTTTGTTATTTTTCCTAATAGAAGTTTCAAACCAGGTAGCAGAGACTTTAAAAATGTTACTGCCATTTGAATGGTGCACACCTTTTCAATAAGTGCCCCAATAGTTCATAAAACTATCTGCTCAAGTCTTATTTTATATCTTCTCATCATATTTCAAAGGTGTTGAGAAGAAATACTTTCCATTGGTTTCTCCTGTCACCAACCAGTTGGTATATTGTGATACGGTTATATTTTACGTTGAACACCTATACAAATGACCTATTTCATTTTTTTCTTTTGGCGCGATTTCATGATAACTAGAGAAGCGAAAAAATGATGAAATTACTGTTCTAAGGTTTACACTGTCGTACTTACGTATTTATGCATAGCCTCGTTACCTTCTAGATTATTATAAATGGTCTAGAATCAATGGTTTCTCCAATTTACCCAACTAACTATTTAAACTTAAAATCATACGTTTATCCAGAAAAATGTTTAGCTAGATGTAGCCACTACATTTGCATGTTTTCGATAATTCCGACTCATCTGAGGATCTGGACGGAAGATATTATACATTCTAACAGTGTATTCAGCTAGTGGATTACGTTGGTAACTATTGGTTAGTACTGATTTGTAGTCATTATAAAGGCATCTATACAAAGAGGTCATATGCTAATATAGACTGGTTACTTCTCTAATCAGTCAATAATGAAATCCTATGGTATGTTTAGTGCATATTCATCGATTAACCGGAACGGTATTGTTACACATAGAATGATACGACTGATGATTACTGTAGTAGATAGTGATTTTTAAAATGTCACTTTTTAACATATTTAGTTTCCTTACTAGAGGGTGCACAACATTTATCGTTTATCAACTTAGTTTTTAGCAAAAGGCTCGGACGGTGTCCTGTTGTATGAAAATCAACTCTCACTGTAGACCACTATTTATTCATTTAGCATCTTTGTGTTAGGAGAAATACTATCTCATCTAATGCCAGTCACCGATTTGCGCGCTCTCTAACAACCATCCATCCAGATCAACCTAGGAACAAGCATTACTGCGTAACATCAAGTAAAAAGGCAGTGGGGCGCAAGGTGAAGATAAGAGGATGCAGTCAAAAGAAACATAAAGTACGAAGAGAGAGAAACGAAAAATGAGAAAGTGGTGAGATTCGGTATAGCGTCGTTAAGATGAGGATAATATATGTATACATCTACGCCACTGACATCGGTTCTGAGCCATGTGACCACCTAGAGTCTCCAACCACTGGTTCCTCTTGTCCCACGAACCCCAACCACCCAGTCTGCATCGTCCCACATGGCTCGAAGCAACAGTCAAAGACTTTATACATTGATGTCATGTTTTAGTGTGACCACCTTGTGCCTTTTTCCAGCCTGAACCTACTTCGGCCAACATTGTGTGATGAGGCAGGGACCGACTAGGCATACATGACACATCTCCCAACCATCTCAGTCGATGAGGTTCACAACCGTGTCAGTCGACTTACCTCTTCTCCCTAAAACTCTACACCTGACTTCTGCATTACTCACGTGGTGACACCACGGAATACGGCGGCCTATACTACGAAGGCAACGATAGTCAAACACCTGAAGCACTCTCATGTCTCCCACCTTCAATGGCCATGTTTCACAGCCATACAGTAGAACAGACCTAACTGCTAAGCAGTACACGCGACCCTTAATAGACGAACGGATATCACGGCGGTGCCATAGGTGGCGTAAGTAGACAAATGCAAGTCGAGCCTTTTGTATTCGTGCAGAGATTTCACTGGCCACTGAGACACCAGGGCTGATCGCACTTCCCAGGTAAGTGAAGTGGTCGACACACTCAACCACTTCACTCTCTATTGTTAGTCGTGGCACCGCTGAAGACCAATCCTGGAGCAACAATTTGCATTTGGATGGTGAGAACCACATCCCAAACATTCTCAAATTGCTACTCAAAGTGTTCAGAAGACTCTGCATCTTGTCAGAGTCTTCACTTAACATGACTATGTCATCTGCATATTCTAGGTCTAACGAAAATTCTCCTGTGATTAGGTCAACGTCTGTGTAACCTGGTGACGAGAGGGAGACACCTCCATAAGAATATCTATGATCAAATGGAGAATAAGAATGGACACAGTAGACAGCCTTGACGGACACCACTCGACGAGCACAGCTCACCGGACATCTCACCATAGGTTGTAACACGCCCACAATTGTTTGAGTAGAGAGCCTTCAGTAAGTTGATGTACTTACTCGGCACGACTTTCAGTGAGAGACATTGCCATAAGACTTCTCGAGCAATGGAGTCGAATTCTGCCTTCAGGTCGAGAAATACAGCCAGTGTCGGGTGGCGGTAAGCGTGTTTGTGTTCCAAAACCTGGTGCAGTGTGAATACTTGGTCGATACATACGCGGCCAAGTCTAAAGGCTGCTTGGTTTTCTCGGGCTTGGTGTTTACGAGCTCCACTCAGGCGTCGAAGAATTATAGAACCTAGAATCTTAGACACTATGTTCGTCAGGTTGATCCCTCTGTGGCTATCACAAGAGGAATTCTTGCCTTTCTTGAAGACTGGGATAATCAGTGACAGACCATTCAGAGGGGATGATATTCGATCCCCATATACTAGCTGACACTTTCGTTAACCTGACTAAGAGCACTGCACCACTATCCTTGTATACCGCGGCAGATAGTCCTCCTGGTCCTGCCGCTTTTCCTTGTTTCAGGTTACCTACCGCTTTCTTAACTTCTAGAGTTGGAGACGTATCTCTATTTCCCATTTAGGATCCGACTGGATAGCGGGCAAGGCAATCGTGGCTGGAGGCCAGTTAAATTGCTCCTCGAAGTGTTCTGCCCATCATTCCAGTCGTCTCCCCTACGAGTGAATCTCAGATGCGTCCTTCTCCGCTATGATCTCATTAACCGCAGTCGACCTTTTCCCCCCAGTTTCCACAATAAGTCTCAATAACTGTCTACTATTACCAACCACCGCCGCCTTTTCCATCTCTTGAGCCTTCGCTGCCCACCACTGTTTGCGGTCGTTGCATAGACTTTTTTCCAGTCTACTTTTAAGCTGTGCCTGCTCTTCATTGTACTCGGGGCCTGCTTCCACGTGCATCCATTAGTTCGGAAGAAGCTGCTGATATCTACTGGCTCTTTTTAGCCACCCTTTTGGAGTCGGCTACTGTCTTCAGGCCTGCTTTTATGGCAGACTGGAGATGGCACCAAGCTTCTTCTGGATGAGTGATATTCTTCTGTTCCGATAACAACCAGTAATGAGGAAATACACTGAAACTCTATATGCGTTGTATTGTACTTTGCATGTATATCGGTGAATAAGACGTTTAATGAATTCAAGGTGGAATTCACAAAATTATTGGTGTCTGAAAAAATAAAATGTACGATCTCTCGATACCTTTTAAGTGTAATATTCAGTCAGCTGATTGTATGAAACGTCTAGCTTACCACTCAATGACAGATGGATACATTATTATTTTTATTTGTCCCTTGGGTTCCTAGTGGAACATAGAGCTTCACTAGCACGTCTCCATTTCACTCTCTTCTCTCAAGTCTTTTCAACCTGACTCCACCAATGCCCACAACCTTTCATTTCTTCCTCACATCATCTCCTCCATGTCACCCTCACATCGGACGCCCAACTCGTCCTTTCTCCTCTGACTTCCACTTGAGCACCTAGCCTGGTGCGTCGTGTCCCAGAATCGTTTTCTCAGTGTATGTCCAATCCAATCCAATCCAATCCAGTTCATCTCCACTTTCTTCTGATGCATATTTGTTGGGTGATAGGTTGTTGGTTGGTTCGTTGTCAGTCAGCCAGAGTTCCTCCTTGCTCATTCTTATTATTCTCGCCATCCATCTGATCTTCACTATCCAGTTAGTGTAGGCGACAGATGTTGATGAATGTCTGTAGTTTGTTGGAAATGCTTTTCGCAACTCATCAAGTCTCTCAACCATCACATAGAAGCACTGACTGACTTGACTGAGATTAGTGTTGAAAATCCGGATGTTGTTTACACTTTATGCTGAATGCAGTGCAGTAGATCTCCACACAGATTTCAGATCAATGCAGTAAGCCCTGTCTTGCTATCTTTCCGATCCTGGCTGACTTTGACATCCTCATGTGTGCCAGTGCCACCTGTAGTTGAAACGATGCTGCCTAGGTAGTTAGGTGAAAGAGGCAACTTCCTTTAGGTTTATCCCCTTCATGATGATGGTGCTTGCTGTTGTTGTTGTTATGTATCTTCATCACCTCTGTGTTCTCTACGTTCATCTCAAGAAAGTCCGTCTTCGCTGCCTCGCCTCTTCTGTCAACTTGTTGGTTTTTGTCTGTAGATCTTCGGGTTTGTGCAACATTAGACAGAAGTCATCATCCAAATCTTGTAGGGTCTTTCATCGGTCCATCCAGCGTATACCCATCCGCTCCCCATAGTTTGTTGCATGATTGAGTCGACCACACTTAGGAAGATGACTGGTGATAGTAGGCGGCAACCTTGTCTTACTCCTGTCTTCACTCCAAAGGCATCACTGAGCTTTCCATTATGAATCGCTTGGCATGTAGTATCCTCATATGCTGTTGATGATACATACTGAAGTATTTTTACGGTCACTTATTTCTTTTCAAGCAATCTGTGTGATAGTGATCTAATTTTTTTAACGCTTACTTTTGCTGTTTTCTAAGTTTGTTTAATTGATTTGTTTTTATCACTATTGTTTTTATGTGACTTTTGTTATGTTGTTTTATTAACGTGATTTCTGCATTCCATCGCATACAGCATGTATGTTGTTGTTCTAAAAAACTATTATGTTTGTTTAGTGCTTTTTTTTCTCTCTCACACGCACATACAGCGAGAATTTTGTTTAGTTTGGTGGTGTTGGATTAGTGGAGATAACACTGACTACATTGATTATCAAATTAACCGATGAAGAATGTAA